GGAAAAACAGTTTCCCATTCCAGACGCATCCTTCTGGCCCCATCAATAGCAGAGGGAGCAGGGAGGGGATGTGCCAGGCAGGCGCAGATGGTGATGCCGGACCTGGCCCCGCGAGGCCCCACCTCTCATGAGCCCGCCCACTGTATCCTGAGTGCCAGGGGGTTAGCGTCAAGATGCCTGGGGCCCTGCTCTTGGTGGCAGTCAGCAGGGCCACCTCCATCGGAGGGCACCTGCCATGTGCCTGCCCGCCATCTCTCCACCCTCCCTGGCATCCTGCCTCATCCGCACGCCCCTCCCATTGTACAGATGAGCAGACAGCCCCAGGTGCTGGGCTGGGCCAAGGGGAGCTGAGGTCAAGTGCTGGTTTCCTGACTTGAAACCTTCCCCCTTCCTGGACCTGTCCCCCTGGACAGGCCTCGAGGGAGACAACAGTGGACAGTTGCAGGGCTCTTGCTGAGCCCCTGGGAGTGGGGAGGCCTGGGCTCCTGGAGAGAGGTGGGTGTGGGTCCCTGATGAGGGCCAGGACAGGGGAAGGTGGCCAGGCTGCCCAGAGCCATCCCCGGGGCCAAGAGCCAGCGCAGGGGCTTCAGCAGAAGTGCAGCCTCCAGGCCCACCTGGGCGTTGGCCAGGGCTGGGGTAGATTGGAGTGTCCCTGTGGCTGGCATGGCAGCTCCCAGCCCATGACCTCCCAGACCCTGCCTTCCTCCTGCCTTCCGTGGCGGGCCCCCTCCCCAGCAAGGCTGCTCCTGTAGGACCCACTGCCACCCGCAGAGGCGCCAAGCCCAACCAGGGACCTGAGGGCTCCTGGCCAACCTCTGCTGTGGACTCCAAACAAGGGAGGGAGGAGGTGGACAGGGAGAGGAGACACACACACACACACACACACACACACACACACACACGCACTCGTATAAGTAAAAAGAATACTCAAGTTACTGCTGTTCCCAGTAATCTCCTGACCCTGGGGAAGAACTCTTTTTTCTACATGGTTACAGTACGTGTGCTCCTCCTATTGCCCTGAGGCCCCCATGGTATCACCCACGGCCATTTCCTCTCCTTGGGGACCTTGAAGTCCCTGGAGAGTGGGGGCTGCAGGGTGGGTGGATGGGTCCAGGGGCGCCCGGAAGGAAGGAAGTGGTCTGTCCACCCACAGGGCCTGAGTGCCTCCCGGGAGATGACACGCACCCGGGAAATAGCTAGAGGTCGGCATGAGGCTGTACGCCACCGTGTCATCCAGCAATACCTGGCCGCGCAGCATTCCTGGGGCCCTCGCTGGCAGCTGCTGGCTTTGTCACCCAGCTTATGTCCCCAGGGCCTGTGAGAAGGAGGCAGGGCACCTGTGCAGCAGGCACATGCTTACTTGTCCATGGCAATTGGGTCTGTGGGGGCCCCTCCTTGGCCTGTGTGACTAGAACCCCTGCCCCCCACCCTATCTGTGCCCCCCTAGGCCTGGAAGACAGGTGACACTGTGAGTGGCAGAGAGAAAGAGAGAGAGAGCAGGGAAAGAGAGAGACAGACAGAGGGAGGGAGAGAGAGACAGAGGGATTGGCATGAAGCTTGCAGGGCAGAGCCTGTGCGGGCTCTGGGTCCCCCCAGTGGCTGTGCGACCTTGGCAAGTCCCCATGTCTCTGATACTCAGCCCCTGGGGTCGTCGGGAGCCTGAACACTTTAGGAGCGTGGCGTGAGGCATAGTAAGTGCTCGTTAGATACTACTTGATGGGGTGTAGGCCTCTGTATTAGTCTCCTCGGGCTATCACAGCAAATGGCCACAAGCTGGGTGCTTAGAATGGTAGAAGTTTGCTCTCTTGTTTCTGGAGGCCAGAAGATTCAAGGTGTGGGCAGGGCCATGCTCCCCACTGAAGCTCTAGGCAAGGATCCTTCCTGCCTCTTACAGCTTCTGAGGGCTCCAGGCGTCCCGTCCCTGGCTCGTGGCCATCCCCCCATCTCCACCTCCATCCCCACGTGGCCTCTCCTCTCCTCCCGGCGTCTCCTTCCTCCACATCTCCTTCCACTCTGCTCTCCTATGAGGACCTGTCACTGCATTTAGGGCCCACCGTGACCCAGGATGGCCCAGCTCGAGATCCTTAGCTGCTCTATATCTGCAAAGACTGTTTTTTCCAAATAAGGTCACATTTCCCGTTCTATGTGGATGTCTCTTTTGGGGTCTGCCACCTGGCCCCACTGCACTCACCTCTCAGGATTTCCTCACAATGATGGCAGCTCGGACCACGTGACACCTGTAGTTCTGCAGCCCTCTTTTCACTTAGCATTGTATTGTGCGCGTTACCCAGGCATCACTGGAAGGTTTTCCCAGACATGCTGGGGGCGGGGCTGTGTAACATTCATCTTGCATTTTCTTTTTTGTTTTGTATTTTTTTTAATTTTTATTTTTTTCGGATGTGCATCATATTTGGAATTCTGTGTACATTACATCATGTTCACCACCCGAACACTAATTATAGTGCATCCCCTTACATGTGACCCAAATCACCCCTTTTGCCCTCCCCCTCCCCCCTTCCCCAATGGTAACCACCAGTCCAATCTCCAGTGCTATATGTTTTGGGGGTTTTTTTGTCGTTTTTATCTTCTCCTTATGAGTGAGATCATATGGTATTTGACTTTCTCCCTCTGACTTATTTCACTCAGCATAATACCCTCAAGGTCCATCCATGTTGTCACAAATAGGGCTGTGTGACATTCATCTTGAGGATGTGTCACTGTTATTTAACCAGGCCCTCACTGTGGACATTAGGCTGCTTCCTCTTTTCCCCGTGGTCCGGACCAGAAGGCTGGGCAGCGCACCTGTGCGCTCCAGGTGGGCAGGGCCAGCTGGAATCGCTGCGGCTCCTGGAGCGAGGCTCACACGCCCACGCTTGCTGACTGATGAGAGAGCCTCTGTCTGTTTGGACCCCGTCCGTCTAGAATGTAAGGAAAGTGTGGTGCTTGGGACACAGCAGGGCCATGGCTATGTGGCCACTAGAGCCGAGGACAAGCCAGGGCGCTGGCTCAGGCCCAGCTCAGCTGCTCACAAGCTGGGGCTCCAGCCCCTCTCTGGACCTCTCTCTCCTCTCTCAGATGGGAGCCTGGCAAATGAAGTCTTGCCTGTGAAGCCCTTGGCCTGGGCCTGGAGCACAGCAGACACTCTGCAAGGGACAGCTGTCACCATGAACCTTGCGTCTGCACTGACCCCCTCCAGCCAGCCAGGGGCTGACTCCTCCTGCCTGGCTGAGAGCTCTGCACAGAGGCAGGGGCCTCTCCGGGCACAGCTTCTCCACTGGCTGCAGGACCAGAGGGGGCCCAGGGGCCTCTGGGGTCACTAGGCTGACAACGGGAGCTGGCCTGCTGGCTGGGAACCTGGAAAAGCAGCTGGAACAGGAGGAAGCCGCCCTGCAGCAGGTGGCTCCCCCTTCAGGGCCACCCCTTCCTCATTTCCCCTGGCCTTGGCCCCTGTGTGGGGTGTGGTCACAGAGCTGGGGGGATGCCGGGTCCCCACAGGACCACTCACACCTGTGGGAGCCACCCTACCAACCTGCACTTGCCCCTCCCATGAAAGTCAGACTCTGGACGCCTCTACCCACCCCAGCCCCTGCCCTTCCCCTCTGACATGGTCACTCCCAGCCACATGTTGGTCAGCCAAGAGGGCTGGAGGGGGCCTGTGCCAGCCCTGAGTCCTGGGGCTGGGGCTGTGGGGTGCACAGCTGTACGGAGGGAGAATGGAGGGGTGCTCAGAGGATGCATGGCCACTTCGCTGCGAGGACGGGGCCCGGGCAGGCGGGAGGCAGGGTGCTGTGCCAGGGTTACCTGGCACTCAGAAGCAGTGTGGGGAAAAGTTGGAGGGCGCAGGACTCGGCAGAGCTGGGAGGCGGCCAGCTGTCCTGGGCACAGAGGGACCTTCTAGCTCCTGGGGCAAGTCTCAAGGGGCCCTGAGCACCCCTTCCCCGTGCCAACAAGATCCACGCCTCAACTTGCTGCAGGCAGTGGGCGCTCTCGGCTGCCGGGGAGGATGTGAGGCCTGAGGCAGGCCTGCAGCAGCCAGAAAGAACTGGGGTCCCCTCAGTGGGGTCCCTGTGACAAGTCCATCTGTCCATCCAGCAGCGATGAAGCTGAAGGAGAGCAGGAGAGTGGGACCACACCCCTGCCCGCCCCCTACCCAACCCTCACCCACAGCAGGGGGTCTCTTCCTGGAGTCTCTGCCAGGTGGTTCCCAGCCCAGCTGGCTGATGGTTGCCATGGAAACCCCACATCCTCCTCAGGGCCCCTCTCCTGGTGCTGCTGCTCCTCCCCGCAACCCTAGCCTGCTCTGCATTCACTCAACCAGGCAGCCTCCACCCCCGGCCCTCTGAGGGGTGAGCGTGGCCCCTCTCCCAGCCCTCCGCCAGGCGAGCACTGCAGGTCAGGTCGGTAGGGGTTGTTTTCACCGGTTCATTCTTCACAGCTGCCCTGGGACAAGGACAGAGGTCCTTTCCTAATTTCCAAATCATCTGGCCAGTCCCTTGGGGAGAGGGAGGGATCCTAGAGATGCTGGGCCCTGGGATCCTGTGCATGGTTTTCAGGCTCCCCTTGGTGTGGGCCCGTGTGTCCGCGGCCCTAATTAACCCAGGGGCGATGGCTGAGGTGTCCAGGGGGCAGCAGCATCAGTGTAGCAAAGCAGGTGTCCATGAGAGGCCCTAGGGAGCCCCAATCGGAGAAGCGTCTGGAATCCTCCCACTCCTGTCTGTGAGACAGCCACTGCCCTCCCATCCAGCTGCGAATCTCCCAGGATGGGAGCATGGATGCTGCCCAGGGCCTGGAGCCTCCAGGGTCTCTCCCTCTCCCTGCAGGGCTGCCCAGAGCACAGAGCAAGGCTGATTCAGAAACGAGGGAAAAGCCCCGCTGTGAACGGTGAAAATGTCCCCTACTGACCTGCAGTGCCGGGGGTGGGGGGTGGGAGGGGTGATCTGAATGCAGAGCCAGTGCTGGAGGGGAAGCGGGCGGAGTTGGGGGGGGCGTGCCATCACCATTTGATGTGTTGGACTTCCGGTTTCTGGGTAAAGGACAAACTGACCAGTGTGTTTGCTTTTGATCCCCGGAAGCCCCATTCAAGCTATGGCAACGGTTTGTTTGGTTTAAGCTATAAATTCCTAAAGACAAAGAGAGCAGGAGAGGAGATGCACCCCGATTGTGGAGACAGGGGAACTGTAGCTGAGTCCACAGGCCCGAGAGAGCGGGGCGCAGAGAAGCAGGTCCACCAGCAGCTGGGATGGGCCCTCAGGCAGCACGGGGGGCGGGGGGACTCGGAGGTGTGGTCCAGACTAGCTCGAGGGGCTCTGCTCAGTGGAGGGCTGGGCTGAAGCCGGGAGTGGAAGGGACGAGGCCACGCAGAAAGCCAGGGAACGGGAGTTTTACATCCTCAACGCCCCCAGCCGCGCCCTCCTCCCCACCCCGCCTCCAGGCGGGAGAGTGAAGGGTCTTCTGGGGTCTGAGCACGAAGGTTTGGAGCCGACATGTCTGCCCCTCCCTCAGAGTATCCAGTTTGACCTTGGCCCCCTTGTCGAGGGTCGGGTGATCTGGAAGCGGATGCCAAGGCAGAGTTCAGGTGCGCCGTGTGCCCAGGGACCGGTACCTGTCGGATGGGGAGGGAGGGGCAGGCCTGTCCTGCGGCCCCGTGGGAGCTCTGGGGCCAGTGCGGCCTGTCAGAGTGGCCTCGTCCAGCTGAAATGACCAGGCCTTTGTACCCCGCCGTGCTCAGTCCCCAGACTGGGCTGCCCCAGGAGGGGCACCCTGGTGGGCAAGGCGGCCTTCTGCAGCTGAGGGCGACCCGGAGGAGCTGAGGGCAACCTGGAGGGGCTGAGGGCTGGCCATGCCCCTCAGCTGGCCATGAGCCCTCCCATTGGGAGGGTCTCCATGCTCCACGCAGCCCACCCTACACTCACTCAAATCCACGGCCAGAGCAGCTCTGCCCGGATTCCTGGGGCCTCTGTCCTGAGGGTGGCTCAGGAGGACGTGGGGGGGACAGGCTGCAGCCCCCGCTGCAGAGCCCAGAGTTCTAGGGATGAGAAGCACCGGGCTCCCAGTGTCATTCGGGGTGATGGCAGTGGGGCACCCCTGCTTCCACCCTCTGTCCCCAGGCCCAGGTGTACCTCCTGCTGGGGACGTGTGCCCATCCTCGTGCCTCTGCCCAGACCTCCTTCTCCACAGGGTCCACTCTTTTCTTTTTTGGGTCCCTCACCAGGCGGGAGGCCATTTCCCCCTGCCCCTCAAGCCATTTCTCTTCCCACACAAAGAGGGGGACCAGAGGCCACGTTCTCCCCACTAGAGGCTGTCCTCCACCCCCTGCCTTTCAGGCCCTGAGTGAGACTGACGTGCTGTCCCCGTGTACATGCAGGGCCCCAAGCTGCCTCGTCAGCCTGGGCTGGCAAGCCCCTCCTCTTGCAGCTGCTGAGCTGAGGGGACGCGTGCCACGGCAGTGGGTGCCGTGGGGCCTGGACCCCCTGTTCAGGCATGCCCCTGCCCCTGCTGGGTTCCAGATGCCCCGTATTCTGTTTCACGTGGGCTGCGCTGGGCCTGCTCTGCCTTGTGACCGGGTGGCCCAATGACTGTGCTCACCATGGGCAGTTCTCGCCACATGGTGGGTAGTGCCCAGCTACACTAGGACTTATTTTTCAAAAGGTGTGTGTCTTAGTCAGCTCAAGCTGCATGGCAAAACCCCACAGGCTGGACCGCTTAAACAAGTGACATTTATTTCTCACAGTCTGGAGGCTGGGAGTCCAAGATCAAGGTGCTGGCCAACTAGGTTCCCAGGAAGGACCTCCTGGCTTGCAGACAGGCACCTTCTCACTGTGACCTCACGGGCCTTTCTTCTGTGCGTGCACAGGGGCAGGGGTCAAAGGGAGAGACAGCAGGCTCTCTCATGTTTCCTCTTATAAGGACACTAATCCTATGCGTTCAGGGCCCCACCCCTATGACACCATATAACCTTACTTACTTCCCTACTCCAGATGGCCACACTGGGGCTTAGGGCTTCAACGTATGGATTTGGGAAGGGCAGAAACATTCAGCCCACAACAGCCTGGCACTCTCTCCTGCAGATGGCATGACCTTGCTGCAGACCCCAGGGGCCTGGGCCCTGATTCTCCTGCTGGGCTTGCCCACCAAGCCCACAAGCTTGCCCATCACTGATGTAGGCAACACCAGCCTGCCCGCTGCAGGACCTTTTCCTGCTCCGGGTGCCCTCCAAGTTGTCAGCCCTGTGTCACCTGGGAAACGGCCAGAGCACATGCCTGGGTGGGGGCTGTGCTGCCTCCAGCGCCTGCAGAAGCTCGACAGGAGTGGTGCTCCCTCTTCATGGCGGAAGGTGCAAGATGCAAGAACCCGTCCTTTGCTCTGAGCGGGTGCCCAGGAACGCCCCTTTGCCCTGGGCCACTAGAATTTTTACAGGTGTGGCAGGCCTCAGAATCTCCTTGATCTCTGGCCGTGGCATCTGCTGCTGCCCGAGGCCGCCCTCTTGAGTGCCCATGTGTCACCACGGCATGTTGCTCAGCCAGCCCAGCCACATCATGTCACTGAGGAAATGGATCGATGTGACACTGTGAGGAACGTCGCTGTGGTCCAGGGCAGGGGAGTTACACATAGCCCTGGGTGGCTGCACATATGTGCTGTGTGCATCCATGTGGAGGACGTGGTCTGTCTCTGATGGGATGGAGAATGCACCATACCACAGGGCCTCGTGTCCCTGGGGCCACATCACTCTGCCCTGGAGGCTGTGGTCACCCTCCAGGATCTATTCCCTTTTAGTAAGGACTGGACCGGTGAATGAAATGGACGTATGAGGGGACCAATGCCCCTGCATCCTTCAGCTCCTCCAGGACGGCACCAATCTCGCCGTCTCCCTCCCCACAGGCGACCTTGGTCTCCTTTACTCTCTTGGCTGCAGAGGGAGGAGTTGCACAGCTTTCCTTTAACCTTTGCACTATGATCACGATGATGGCTCTGCCCACAGACCAAGGATCCTATGGGGCAAATGTCAATCATTGTTCACAGACTGGGGAAGTGACCACTGGGTGGGTCTGCAACCCAGTGGACCCCCTGTAAGCTGGACCTTGGGCAGAATGCCATTAATCACCACTCTAACAGGGGTCTCTGGATACCAGTGTCGACCCTGGCCTGGTCCTATGGCCCCTAAAACCTCTGGCACTCCCTTCCCCAGTGCAGTTGCTGTAGGTCCCCCTGGGGAGGCAGAGCCATGCGCCCTTTCTCACATGGTCAGAGGACATTAAGGATGGGAGACGGAGAGGCCGAGATGGTCACCCCACAAACAGCACAATCCCGGACTCAGTTTCGGCCCTGAGCCAGCTTTCAGACCTGGGACCCATTGACTGAAGAGGTGGCCAGGTGACCAGGAGAGGTGTTTGAAAGCTCGGAGACTCATCTACATCGCCATATTTCCTTTAAACAAAGAAAGAATATTTTAATTTGTTTGACTTGTGGTGCTTTTTGGATCTGCAGCCTCCATCTCAGAATTCCAGCTTGAGGCGCTCCTGGCCCTTCACTCTGCACAGGCTGCTGTGTCCGCCCGGGCAGCGGTGCCAGAGGCGTGGGGACCGGATGGCTGATTCTGGACAGCACACGTGCTGCTGCCCCCTGGGGGTGCTGGGGCCTTTTTTCGCTGATTTGGGGTTGGGAAGGATGTTCCAGAAACTCTCAGGGAGGAATTTTGGCTCCTTCTTCCAGGCTCCAGCCCTCGTGCTCAGCCCTTGGGCCTGGACAACTTCCCCATTTCTCTGATGTCCACGGACAGAGTCAACCTGTGCCCCAGGACCAGCACACACCTGACCTCATCCACTTTCGGATGCTGGACACCTGGCGTCCAGACATAGCCCTAGTCTGGGATGTCTCCTGGCCGTGGTGGCGGAGGCAGGTCCAGGAAGGTGCGCAGAGTACAGAGCTCCAGCATCATGCCTGTCAACTCCAGGGGTCACCTCTCTCCGGACCCTCTGGCCCAGAGAGGAGGCCCCCTCCAGCAGGGTCTTGCTTGGAGGGTCCGGCTCTGGTCTGAGGTAGCCTTGCCAGGTCACCAGCTCTCCTGGGACAGTGTCCAGCAACTCCCCAGGGGGGGAGGGGCTGCTGCCCCCCCACTGCCATCTCCAGGAGGGTCGGGACAAGCTCCTGCGTATTCAACAGCCCAGGCTGATCTGAGTCTGCTTTCAAATCTAATTTCATGAATTCCAAGAAGAGTTTCTTGGCAAAAGAATCTTTCTAGAGTGTTTCTTAAGGGGAAAAGGCACAACTTCTTGGGGTGGGGTGGTGGCAGGGACAGCAAAGTCTTGGAAGATTCCCCCTCTCCGCAGCACCCCGTGGTGGGGGGTGGGGGGTGGCCCTGGCTCCCCGCCCACGACAGGGACGGAGCGCCACCTGCCGGCATGGGCCCCACAGCCCACCTAAATCGCGCTGGGAGGACCCCCGATTTTCGTCAGCCGGCAGCCGCCCCCAGGACTCCCAGGGCCCCGCCCCCGCCTGCAGGCGCGCGCTTGGAGCTGGGCGCGGGGTGGGGGCAGCTCGCCCTCCCTACACACTGACCGGCTCCCCTAGTTGAAACACTAGTCCAAGGCCCACGGGAAAGAGCACAGATCCTAAGCTGAGCGACCCGGGCCCCGAGGATCCGCGCGCGCGTCCAGGCACAGACGGCCGCCACGTGCCCCGCGCCCCTCCGGTCGGTCCCCTGCCAAGGCTGCCACGCGGGTTCCCAGGACGCGAGGGGCTTCGCGGCTTTTGAGTTTGGCGCTTCCGGACCTCGCCGCCGCTCTGCCTCCTGCCTCCTCCCGCCGCCGCCCACCTGGACTGTCCTAGTGTCCCTCCCCAACAGCACCGTGTTTCAGAAGGACCGGATGGCCCCGTCCGCCTCCAGGACCCTGGCTCCTAGCCGCCAGGCTGCGCTGCCAGAGACCCGGGGGGCTGCTGGGTGCTCCCTGGGAAGGAGAGAGAAAGTAGGGGCAGCGGGCTGGGGGCGGGAGGCGGCCGCGGTGACTCGTGGGGCCGGGCTCTGGACCGAGCCCTTGGAGACCTTTCCTCGCCCCTCGCTTGCCGGGCGCGTACTGCCCCCTCCCCAGCCGGGGCGGGGTCTAGGCAGTGCCCTGAGACCCTTAGCTGCCCTGCGCCCGCGCCCTAGGGCTCAGCGGAGAGGAGAGCCCCAGGTGTGTGTCCCCCCCGCCCCCGCCCAGGTGGTGCCGGGCGCGCAGGGGAGGCCCCTGGCGCGTAGCGCTGGTGCCTCAGGCTCCGCAGAGCCGGCCTGGAGGAGGAGCCCGCACGGATGGACGCCCAGGTTTCTGTGGCAACGTCAGGGCGGGCCTCCCGCCTGATCTAACCGTGTACTTGGAAGCTGGGTGCCCGGGTCCCCGGGTTCTGCTTGCAGGTGTCCTTTGAGCCATGGCTGCTGCCTGGCACCTTTCGGCAGGTGGAAAGGCCTGGAGCCTTCTAGCTGGTGAGTACTCTGGAGGGGCTTTAGCTGAGCGCTGTTCCATCTGCCCCAGGCACCTGGGGGAGGGGCTGGGAAGGGGAAGGGGGGGGGTCAGGAGGCGGACAGGGCCGGTGGATGGGGGGGGTTGGGTACACGCAGGGCGGGCAGGGGGCTCAGCCTTTCCTTCTTCCATGGACCTGGCCAGGTGAGGACCAGCCACCCCTCCTCTGTTCTCCTTCCTTGGGGAGAGGTCTTCCTGTCTGGGGGCTCCCTCTGAGGGCTTGGGGCCTGCTTAAGGGCAAAGCTAGGCTGCCCCTGGGAGTGAGACCCACTGGGCTGCCCTGCCCCTGGGCTTAGGTCCTGCTGTGGGGCGGCACTAGATTGTCACCTAATGAGCTCAGTTCCCCGCACTTGCTGTAAAATGGTGATAAACACAGTCCCAGGCCCTGATTGGTGCTGATGGCTGACTCTGTGTTTGGTTACACCTGGCAAGTCTGTTGTCCGACAGTGGGGCCAGCGCAGCATGGACCCCCTCTAGCTAACTCTCCTTGGGCAAAGGGCCTGGGCCCCTCGGCTGTCCCATCCTGCTGGAAGGCTCCTGTTGAGGAGTGTGAGCTAGGGCAGGTGGAAGGAGACCCACAGCCGTGCCCGCCAGAAGCCGTGGCCCATATTGACTGTTCTGAGCCTTTGGGAATGGTTTTGGTCCCCAGGGTGGGGTTGTCCATGTCTGCAGGTTCCTGTCCTGGAGTTGCCGGGCTCCATAGCTGCTGTGCTATCCTGGGCGCTCCTGGCTTGGGGGAGCCGGTGCCGAGGGCAGGTCTCTGCTCTGGTTGTTGTGACCGTGGGCAAGGTGACAGCGCCTTCCTCATGGGCTTGGTCAGGAGCCCCAGGTTGCCTGGGGAACGCACTGGGCACAGACCTGGCCCTGGCAAGGTGTCCCAAGGGGTGGCCGGCTCAGGAGATGGTGCTCTCCATGGCCAGAATGCTGAGTGGCTGCTCTGGTGGCCGAAGCTGACCTTGGCCTTGGAGGAGGCCAACCAGGTCTAGGGGTGTGGGGTGCGGGGCCGGGAGAACAGGGAGGTGGCAGGGCCTGGGGCCTTGTGCTTGGGTGGGCCTGGGGGTGGGGGAGCTCCCTGCTGACCTCTCTGTTGGCGTGGCTGTGAGTCTCTCCTTGGCACGAGGGGACAGTGTCTGAGGGCTCCCTGGGGGGCTGCGGGCTGGTGGGTTGACTTGGCTACTGCCTCTGGTTCTTGGTGGCTGAGCTGAGGGCTGTGTGAGCGCTGGGGCCCAGAGGCTGCGGGATGCCGGCAGCCCGCTGCTCCGCGCCCTGCCATTTGTCCACATCTGTGCACAGTGTTAATCTCTGCCTCGGCACCCCGTCAGTGCCTCCATCTGGTTTCCTCAACCTCACCCTCCTCCCGACCTCCACCTGTCCTCCCAAATCACTACCTGTTGTGTCACCTGGTTCCTGCCCTTCCGTCTGCCACCTCTGTGTGGCCCTGAGTCCCCTTGGGGCCCGACCAGCCCCGGGGTGTCAGTTGGCCTCCCTGGGGAGCAGCTGGTGGAGACGCTGTGTCTGCTGGAGCACAGCCGGGCGGCAGAGACTGGGGTGCCGCCCTGACCAGACCCCCATGCGAAGGGCAGTGTGTATTTGTGTCTATTTTGTGTATGTCTGTGTATATGTTATGTGTCTATTGTGTATCCATGTGTGTGTTGTGTGTCTGTGTGTCTGTGTACGTTGTGTGTCTGTGCATGTGCGTTGTGTATGTCTTGTCTGTTAGTGTGTGTGTTGTGCATCTTTACATGTGGGTTGTGTGTGGGTGTGTCTGTCCGTGTCTGTTGTGTCTCTGTAGGTTGTGTGTCTGCGTATGTTGTGTGCCTGTGTGTTGTGTGTGTATGTTGTGTGTGTCTATGTATGTTGTGTGTGTCTGTGTGTTTGTTGTGTGTGTCTGTGTGTTTGTTGTGTGTGTCTCTGTGCACAGTGTGTATCAGAGGGGATGCGTGTGCTTTGTGCAGTAGGACCCACGGTGCGCAGGTGCTCTTGCCACCTGCCAGTCATTTCCCCAGATGTGACAGAGCCTGGGTCAGCCTCGGGAGGCCTTCCGTTTGGACCCTTCAGCCCCTGCCCTTTCTCTGGCCCTGCTGCCTGGGGCTGCGGGGCACAGCCTGTTGCAACTGAGACTCTGATCAGGGTCCAGGGCCAGTTTGGGTCTGTCCACGATGGGGACCGCTGCTTCCCCAGGGCTGGGTCTGCGCAGGTGGCCGTTGGGAGCCATGCTAACATCCAGGCCTGTGCCAGCTGTTGTTGCTGCCGAGTTCTCTGTGGTCTCCATCCCTGGGGCCTGGTGGCAGTGGCGAGGTGGCGGGCCTTTCTCCTTGCCGTCTGCGGACTCCGTCCCTGAGCCTGTCCAGGCCTGCTCAGTGCTGGCTCTGCTAGTGACGAGGCAGAGAGGGGTAAACAGTGTGGGCACTTAGAGCAGAGCCTGCCAGCTTCCAGAAGGCAGCCCTCCCCGCCCCGAGGCCGCCCGCCAGCCCGGGCCGCAACGTCATCGTGCTCCTCACAGTGCAGCAGGCTGTGGTGTGGTGTGTGGGCACAGTTGGCCCCCAGGCCAGGGGCAGCCCCTGGTGGCAGTGAGGGCCAGAAACTGCCGCCCTGGTGAGTCATTAGTTTCGGGCTGTACTGGCAGGTGCATCTCGGCCCCAGGCGGCAGATGAGGGCCTGGGCTGGCGGTCTTGGCTCTTGAGTGGGCTGCGTGAGGACAGAGGTGCCTGGCTTTCTTTACCTAGTGTGTGCCCGGCCCCCAGGGGGCACTCTATGTTGTCTTTGGACCCTTATAAGAACCCTGCCAGGCGAGGGCTAGTGTTCTGCCAGCTTTCTTGAGGAGCAACCTGATGCCCAAGGGCTCAGTGACCTACCCGAGGTCACCAGCGGGCATCTGTGTGTCTGGGAGCCGGGGCTCTCCATCACTGTGTCCACTGTGTGCCCACAGTGGGCCGTGGGCTGCTCCGTTGGCTCTTCACACCCGCCCTTCCCCCACCAAGAAGCCCTGTGACCCTCCTACCCCATCAGTGGCTCAGCATGGCCCTGGGGACCCATAGGGGCCACTGTCTTTCCTGGGGCCCTGGAGGTGGCACCTATTGTGGAGACTCTCCGGCTTCTGACCCTGCCAGGACCCTGGACGTGAGACCGTGCTGCGCCTGTGGAACGGAGCCGGACGGTGTGACATGAATCCTTCCCTGCTCTGCATAGGTCCGGCCTCGCTGGGGGCTCTTACAGTCATGAGCATCCACATGCCAGGCCACCCCTGCCCCAGCAGTCCCCGGCCCAGGGGGGAGGCAGATGGCTGGGAGTGGCCCTGAGGCCCCACTCACACAGCAAGGGGAGGGGACCTGGCATCAGGCAGGCGCGAGCCAGGGAGGGGTCAGGACGGGAGCCGCGTGTGCTTTCACCAGCTGGGGCAAGCCTCCAGCTGGACCTGCGTGGGGCTCAGGCTTAGCTGAGATGCTGCTGGGGCCGAGCGCAGGCCTGACCTGGGGGGACGCTCCTCGACTCCAGGCTGTGCCTCTGCCCAGTGGCGTTGTTGGAGCCTGACGGTTTGTGACCCAGGGAGAGAGCTGACGCTGTTGCTCGCGGCCTCCGGGCTGCAGCCCAGCTCAGAGCCTCAGTCGCCCCAGCGGGTGCGAGAGCCTGGGGCAGGCACGGGCTACTGCAGGGCATGCAGTTGTGGGCGACATCAGCCAGGGTCTGGGCAGGGGGAGGCCGTGCGAGCTGCATCTGGAGCCTCAGTCGTGAAGGGACTGCGGGAAGGCCCCGCAGGGCAGGGAGGAGAAGGAGGAAGTTGGCAGTTTGTCACACTCACAGGGTGACATGGGCCCTGTCGGGTTTGTTTCCTAGTTCACCGCGCATTTGTTTTCATGGCTTTGCTTTTATCAACAGTCGAGCATTTAAACTGACTGCCCGCCATATTTCCAGGCCTTCTTTCTGGAGAGGTCAGAGTCTCCACTGACCGCCGGGGACAGCTTGATTCCTGCTAATGGCAGAAAAGGGTCCCCAGGCCGCCCCTCCCCTGGGAGAAACTTCTCAGCGCTCAGCTCCCACTGCTTCTGCTCAGAATGACCCTTTCCCTCTGCTCTTTCGGGAGCAGGGCCAGAGAGTCCAGGAGGATGCTGGGAGAATGTCCCCTGGACCGCAACTGATGCGAGGGGCCGGGGGCTGGCTGGGGGTGGTGGGGCCACAGCGAGAGCCGTTCTTCGGCCAGGTGGCGGCCGTGGGCTTTTGTTCTTATCAAGGCTGCTGGGGGACCCTGCCCGGGGCAGGGAGGCTCTTTGGGAACAGAAGGAGGTCAGGCTGTCTGTGGGCGTACCCTCGGTTGTCCAGCCTCTACGGGTGGTGTGGGAGATGCCATGGTCACCACCTTATGACATGCGCCCTGGCTTGCTGCAGCACCCCAAGAGCTGTTCCCCCCGCCCCGTGTAGCAGAAACCGTCTGCAGGCCACGTGTACACCCAGCACGTCACAGGAACATGCTGTGCCCCGCAGCCACGGGAAGGGCCCCTGGGGCTCCCCTGTGTGGCCCCAGGCCAGCTCTCTGGGACGGCCGACCACACGCAAACACACGGGTGGGAGCTGCTCCATTGCAGCCTTGCCGCGCCATGTCCTCAGTGTTGCGGTTGAGCTGGGCAGCGTGGGACTCCTGGCCAGGCTGATGAGGCAGAGCCAGATGGCCACCATGGTGCTGCCAGCAGGGGGACCTGCCTGCGTAGGTATATCATCCGTCTGGACTGCCAGGTGTGGTCCTGGGCCCTGGGGCTGGAGCCTGGATTTGGGGTCCTGCTGCCCTATTCTCTGAGGCACACGTGTGCTTCCTCTCATCCCGACTATAGGGGAGGTTGGGTGGGGTGGAGGGGACGGCACCTCATATTCCAGGCAGGGCCTGTCCCCAGGGTGACTCCTTCCTCCTGCTGGTGGCTCGTCATGGGGCTGTGTGCCCTGTGAACTGCCACGGAGACAGCAGCGTCTCCAGGCGTCCTGGTTCCCAGGACAGGTTCTTCCGAGTGGCCTCGAGGGTGGCCCTCCGTTCTCCGTGCTGCCTGGAATTAGGGTCTTCTGCTGCAGAGCCCCTTTTCTCTGGGGCCGCTCTGGTGGAATGCCTTCAGGGCAGTTGCTAAAACCAGTGAGTGTCCCTGACCAGCTAGGCCGCTCCCCGACCGCGGAGTGAACTCAGCGGATGCTCACGTTACCCAGAGGCGGGTGGGGCAGGGTCTCTGGCTGCCCAAGGATATGCTGCAGCTGGGGTCCAGCTCTCACCTGGGGGGACCATGCAGAGCCCAGGGCCAGCTGACCACAGAGCCCACGTCCTCCCCTCCACGCTGCCCTGTCAGGATCGTCGGGGTGACAGGAAGCCCACTGGGGGCGGATGGGGCTGGGGTGCTCTCCCAGGAGTGCAGGGGTGGAGAAGCAGGCCTGGGGTCCAGGCACTCGGGCATCTATAGAACTATTTCCATGTGCAAGAGGGGTCCTGAGCATGTGCCAGCGAGAGCTGGGAAGCCAGTGCGCTTCCCCTGACGAGCCCCAAGAGGCCAGAGGGCCGGGGCCTCAAGAGAGGTGGCTGATGTTTTCATGTTGGCCTCAAGGCTGGAGCACTCAGCCCCTCGTCCAGCTGCTGGGGACATGCCTCGTGCTGGCGCCTCTCTCCTGCACCCAGGCTCCCAGGCTGCCCCTGCCCCTGCCTCTAACGCTGACCCTGGGAGCCCCACCCCCCACTCCCAGCCCCTCCCTCACTGCAACCCTACTCTGGCCCCAGCCCGAGCCTGACCCCCACCCTGGCCAGCTCACTCACCGTGCACAGCAGCCGCTGGTCCTGGCGCCCTGGGAGGACTGGGATGGCACACGACCTAGAGCCCCAGCAGGAATTGAAGGCCTCGGCTCTCTGTCGCTGAGTGACACAGGGTTATTATGCTGTCATGGGGCCACCCGGAACTCTGTCCCACCCCGCTGAGAGGCAGCTCATTAGGAAGGTCCCCCAGGCCATCAGCCCAGGGCCGGGCAGCCCACCGTACCCACCCAGTTCCCATGAATGTCCTGAGGGCGTCCACTGCAGGCCGGGGACCGGGACAGGCTGGCATCTGTAGCCGGGCAGCAGCCTGCCCGCCCATGTGAGCAGGGATGGGCGCTGGGCTGCAGACCACAAGGCTGCCCTGTGAAAGCTCCATCTGACCCCAGGGCACGGGGGGACTGGGAGCTCCCCTGGCTCCGCCCTTGCTCCCCGGCCTGTGGCCATGTCAACCCGTCCGGCCTTCGGGAAATGATCCGGCCCCTCCCTAAAGATAGCCAGAGGCAGTGCCCCTTCTCCCTCGGGGGCCCAGGGAAACCGACCATCAGGAAGGCCAGCGCCAGGCCCAGGTACTGTTTGTGACTTAGGGGCGTGTCAGCATGTTGGGAGATGGCACGTCTCCCCTGGAGGGCACCGAGTGAGTGTGAAGAAGCAGGACTTGGGGCCAGGGTGCCTCTGCTGTGGGCCTTCCCCAGCCTCAGTTTCCCCATCTGTAAATCGGGCTGATCATGGAAGGGGTGAGGTTGGGATCCAAGAGAGAATGTCCTGGCACTGTCACGCACAGGGGCATGTGTCGGTCCCCCAGGCCTTTCTCAGTTTGTGGGTGTTCCGAGACAGGAAGGACCGGGAGCAGGGGGTGCCGGGGACAGTGGGGACACAGTGTGAGGCGTTCTGCTCAGCACTGCCCGTTCTCCACCCCTGACCAGCTGTATCTGCTTCTCTCTCCCAAGGGAAGGCAGGCTCTGTCCACCTGCGGCCAAGGATCACTTCATGGCTGCCCTGAGGTGGCCCAGGCCTTCCCAGCAGCCAAGCGCCCTGTGGGGAGCTCCCCACTTGACCTGGTCTGACTACATCGAGGAGCTGGGCCCCCAGGGAAAGGCCTGTAGCCACCTGGTGTGGTCAGCTGGCGAGAGAGACAACGATGGGGACAGCTCAGTGTCATCCGGCCGTCTCTCTGGCTCCTCTGGGGGCCATGGGTCCTGCACACCTCCCCACAGGCACTGGAAGGAGAGGCCCCCCCAGGTGCTGGGGCCCCGGCGGCAGCCCAGGGAGAGCAACCCACGGCTAGAGCAGCTGAGGGACAAGATCCGGGCCCAGGTGCGGGGGCAGGCGAGCTGTGCCTCCCTTGGCACCTGGACACTCTCCAGCACCTCACACCTCTGCAAAAGCTCCACGCCAGCCCCCCGGAGGAAAGTTCGAAAACTGACGAACGCCCCTCCAGCCCCGGCCTACCCAGGTCAGTGGCAGGTTTCCCCAGTGAGGGGCAGGCGGGCGGTGATGCCGCGGGGAGGGTGGAGAGCCGGTAGGATTGGGCTGCTGCAGGCCAGGCCGTGCTGGGCGCCTGAGTGGACCCGCCCGGGCTGGTGGCCAACTGGGTAGGTGAGTGCAGTGTGTCCCCGAGGCCCCAAGAGGGGCTCACAGCCTGGAAGCCGCATGGGGCTTGGGGTCCTCCCGGGAGGTGTGTCCCAGCTGGGCTTAAGCACGAGGAAGAATTGATTCACGGATGGACACAGAGACAGGCTGGGGAGGCTGATGGAAAGAAGAGGGATGCTGGGATGGAGGCAGGGTGTCCACAGGGCGTGCCTGGAGGCGTGGAAGGGACCCGGTCCCCTGGGCCTGGAGTCCGCAGCCCTGGGGGAGGGGGCTCGGGGGGGCAAGTGGTGCGATCAGGTGTGTGAGGACTTGGCTCAGGAACCCTGTAAAACCCGCAGGGGATTTGCAAGGTCCTCAGGACCAGGCGTGGCCCGGCCCTGGGGCGTGGCGGCCAGGCCCGGGCGAGGGTGGGGATTTAAAGACATGGCCACCATCTCCGTGCTGGACGCGGTCGAGGTGCAGCCGTGTGGCTTTATCTCCGTGCGGCTGCCTAGCTTTCTCCATGGGACAGGAGAGGGGTTTCGTTTTTTATTATTCTTAAGATACACTCTTCTGTTTTTTTAAATTGTGGCAAACACACATCACATAAATTTTACCATTTTAACCACTTTTAACTGCACAGCTCAGTGGCATTAAGCACGTTCTCATTGTTGTGCAGCCGTCCCCGCCATCATCTCCAGGACTTTCTCATCTCAGACTGAAGCTCTGTGCCCACTGAACACTCACCCCCTCCCCTCCCCCAGCCCCGGCGCCAGCACCCCACCTCCTGTCTCTGTGGGTTGGCTCCTCAAGGGCCCTCACAGGAGTGGAGTCCCACAGGACCCGTCCTTCTGCGACTCTTTCTTAGAGGAGGTGGCACTGCCGCTTTCTTGTAGCGCATCTGGAAAGCATGAAGAATGACACAAAGTGGGCACTCCTCCCTGTGTGCCTCGCTCCCCCAAACTGCCCCGGTCAGCACTTCGGGGTGCGTCCCTCTAAGTCATTACTTCTCTTCGCAAAACAAGACCTTAGGCACCTGCCGTGACATCCCCTTCCTGTGCTGCGGGATCCGACAGCGTGGGCCCAGCTCGAGGGCACGGGGAGCCCTGCTGGGAGACAGCTGTGCCAGTTCTGGTGGGAAAGCCATGGCGCCGCCAGCCCGCTTCCCAGCCAAGCGCCGGCACCTGTCGGGATTGGCCCTGCGGAATGTGCTCGGGCCTGAGGCGTTGGTCAAAGGCGCTGTGTTTAAAGGCTTTTGAACCAGGACCTTTTCCTGGAAAGTCTTCACAGAATCTCTTTCCTTACGATGCTTCCTTCTTATCACTCTGCTCCAGGCTTAGGCGTCCTGAGTGCCGCTGAGCGCAGAGTTGAAGACAAGGCCATCCCTGGCCAGGATCGGGAGCCCTCTGCGGTCTCCCAGAGCCAGGCCTCAGGTGAGTGGCTCTGTGGCCGGCCATGCTGGTACCCCTGGTCGATGCTTAGGCCACGGTGAGGGCAGCACGGTTCTGGACCCAACACTCTCTGCGCGGTTTCTCTCTCCTGCTGTGAGATTGGCTCTGTTACATTCCCCACTCACAGATGAGGACATTGAGGGTCACAGAGGACCCCAGCCATGAAGGGGCCAAGCAGAGATTTGGACCCAGCCTGCCATTCTCTGGAGCCAGATTTCTAACCCCCCGCTTCCCTAGCGGGGAGGGAATCCAGGCAGGGCCTGCAGGGCAGGCTGGGGCTCAAAGTGGGGGGCGCTGGGCAGGGGCGTCTCCTTGCTGAGATTTCCTTCATGGAATAGGTGAGGTCTTTTCTGCATGGTCACATGCCAGCCATAGCGGCTGGGCCCGAGGCCCTCCAGGTCCTGCCAGCTCCTGGGCTCCCTGTTCCATCTTGCAGGCAAGAGGCACTGCCCGCCTGTCCCACCGATGGCCCCGCCTTGCCAGGGAGGTGCTGAAGGGTCGGCAGTGGGTCGGCAGAA